TCAGATAAAATAGGAGCTAATCATATAAACTCGAACTTCCCTTAACTGGGAAGTTTTTAAAAATCTTAAAGAAACCCAGTTGTGGTTTTCCAAATTCTACTTCTCCTTTATGTGTATTACATAATAGATAACAATAGAAAAAAGTTCATAATCTTCAGAAAAACTAATAACAATCAACGAACAGAAAAAAAGAGGAAAATCAACAAAGCAAGATAACAACGTTTAAGCTTCACAACAAGAGAAAATAATGAAAATTATAAGAAGAATCAGACTCTTTATATCTACACATTAACATCTACGGAGAGAAAACTCCAGATACAGACGGAAAGCGAACAGAGCTCGTTCACATTCGGTTTCCGCTGCGTTGAGCATTGTTTGTGCTCGGCGATAACGTTCCAAAATCGTACGATCAGCAGTTGACATATACATTTCTTCAACTTCAGCTATCTGAAAGAAAAAAGAAATAAATACTACTCAAAAGCCGACATGGCAGATAAATTGACCTGCTGCTTCCTGGTTTCCTCGTCAAGAGCTTCATCAGCGCTAATTGTTTCAATGATAGATTCCATTTTTACCTGCCGATCAGTCAGTTGACGATGCTCTTTTGCTTCGAATGAGCGTCGCAAAATGATGTTTCGTAACATCTGGAGAACTAACTTTAGGGACAAATCCCAGTTTGGAATTTTTATGAAAATAGCAGAATGAATCAGTAAATCTCTAAGAATCGTCTAGGTCATGGGAAGAAACATCACAAAAATGACATCTAAGACCTTTGCCGAGCAGCTTTGATGTTATATTGTACAAAAAACGTCGTCCCGCCAAAAGCTCTTTGACTTCAGAAATAAACGAGACTGTTATCTCGTCAAAAAGTAGAGTCAACCAGCTGACCACGAATTTAATACAATTTTTGCAAGTAAATATCGAAACATTACTTGTAATTTCAATGACTGATGATTTCTCTCATTCATTATAGATTGAATAAAGGATCAATGAGGACATGAAAGACCAACCTTGCAGGTATATTCCACAAGACCTCGTACAGTCTGAGGCATATCCACAAAGTAAAGTACAAAAGTTCGGGCCGGAGCGAAATCATTTGTGCGACCGATTGGCTGCAAAATATAGCAACACATTTACTCATCGATAAACTTCGGCTACTATTGCAACCTTTGTACTGATATATCCTTCTTCTAACATAGCGTAAAGCAGCTCCCGTGTTTCTTTCCCATTCATCATAGTCAATTTTTCAATTTGGTCTTCTTCAAGGTGACCCCTCTGCTGCAAGAGACGGAAAATTCTGAAAAGAAGCTCTCAAAATCCTTATGTTTTGTGAGCCTTCACTAACTGTCAGAAGGTACCTTACGGCTCTTGATTCAAGCTGTTCTCGAATTAATGATTCTATGTGAAACTGGCAGATCTGCTCAGCGGCGCGTTCAAAATCTGCAATCTTTGGAAAAACTAAGTGTGGAAAAGTTACAAAACAAATTATTTTTGATGAACTTTCACATTCCGACATTAGAAAACTTCTCGTAAATGTTAAGGTTTTTACAAAACTATTCAAATGTTAAGTACTTTTTTTGTCAAGGATAGTATGAATATTATCTAAAACAACACGAAAAAGTTCCTACCAATTACAAATAATCCTCCACCACTATCGCCAGATCTTCGCACTACTCCATGAGACTCATCTACCAGGACCCGCAGTGCTTTCTCAACATCTGGTCGCTCCAGTTCGAGTTCATTCTCTTTTACACATCGCATTATGTCAAAGAGCTGAATATTAACAATAAATTCTTTTAAAAAAACCTGTAAAAAGTCACTTTCAATTCAAGAAATCCGGATGAA